TAGTCTAACTTCTTGCTCATTTTTTGATTTACAGATGTCAAATGAGGCAAGGGAATCTGCGGAAAAGACCCATTTCTTCAATGTGCCTGCCTTCCTGACAGTTTCTGGCCAGCTCCATTTGGAAGTGATGGCAGGGTGAGCAAAATGAGAAGTTTTTGGCTTGATCTGTGGGATCTTCTCGGTTGGTAATTTTGCTCCATTGGTATCCATTAGGTATCTGCCACATGTGTGCCAGAAATGAATTGAGCAGCAGTGGCTGGATGATGGTGTGAGAGGCCAGCCTAGGCAGGGGAAAATTAGACTGCTTTTTAATTCTGGTCTATGAACTAGTTTTAAATATTAGGAGTCGTCTTCTACTTACCATGGATTGGGAATATTGGATGGAGATGTAATCTTTATGGGAATGACTGTGGGATTGTTGCTAATAACTGTAGTACCTTAAGTGTCTTTTTGTTGTTGTTCACACCTGGCATGTCTCAGCAAGAAAATCTTTTTCATTTTAGCTATTGCATTCCTTTCCTCTTTTCTCCTTTTTTCCCAAGCTTCCTTTTTCTGTCTCCTTCAGTCTTCCTGTGGTGTTTCTTCCTCCTGCCAAGTCTCACTTCTCCTGTTTCATTGCTTTCACACTTGATGCTTTGTTCATTCTAGCCACTAAAGTGATCACAGTCAAATAGTTAATACTGACTTTCATTAAAAAAAAAAAATTATCCTTAAGCTTTTAATGTTAATATTTCACTGAGATAGTTAGGGGTGAAAGCATCAGTCTGTCAGAGAGACAGTTCCCTTTGATTAGGGGGATTGGTCCTCATCTATACTGAATTTTCCCAATAAATTAACTGAATCAGTACATTAAACAGATGGAGTCAAATCAGCACAATCCCTTATTTGAAGGCACAGTTTTCTGAGCGCTTGCAACGTGGGTTCTCCTCAGATGGGGTACTTCAGCCAAATCACTGCCTGCCAGCTGAATGGCTGATAAAGCCTGTCAGAAACCAGGTCTCAGGCAGGTAGCACTGCAGTTGTTTGCCACGTGCCAAGGGGGTTCATCGTGCACTTACAGTGACTTTAAAATCACTTTTAAAGTGACTAGTTACTGTCCAGTGCAAATCTCCTGAAGATGAGAGGGATAAAACCCTAGCTTTAGAAAATGTGAACTTGGAAGATCTGCTTTTTCATGTGGAGGTTCTAACGAGTATTTCTAATAGTATTTGCTGTCCGTGCCTCATATCCAATGTTGAGAACCAAATAATAAATGTTTAGCTGGGTTTTTTTATTTAATCACTGTTGCACAGTTTAATTGGCTGCTGGTAAATAGCTGCAGTGAAATTGTTCAAAGGGCGTTTTGCATATAAATCAAAAGGTATAAATTTCTTCAGAAAGCTGTTTTCTGCCTGGCTTGTTATCTCCGAGAGACAGTGTCTCTTCCCAGACCACCTAGGCGGCTATGGTCTGCTGAAATACTCAAGCTAAAGGTTCTCGACGGACAGGATGTTTCTCATGTGGTGCCCTGGCTGCTGCGACAGAAGCACAGGTCACTTGGCAGCCAAAGGCTGATGCGTCATCTCAGACATTAGCTGGGGAAAGTTAATGAGGAAGAGGTTTGTTTAACTGTAGGGGTGGTGGAGTTCTTGTGTCCCTGAAAGATGATGGGATGACATGCATTTGTACGTGTTAGACTTAATTGACTGGCATGCATTGTGACCTTTATTGAAAGACGTAATTCCACAAATCAAATAAGTCCAAAGAAAAAGTATGGATTGTAATGATTAACTTGAAATACAGCCTCACTCTCTTACATCAGTCTGTTCCCTTTAAATAGTACACAGCCTGCTCTGGGATGGAACAGGAGGCTAAACTGGGCAGATGCAAGACCTGTCTGCTAAATATTTTTTCCATTGATATCACTCAGGTGCACCTTGCTCTCTAAGGATGGGTAAAAAAAAAAATCAATGCTCTTCAGCATGCAGTGCAGTACATTACGTTACAGCTTCATGTTCCTATTTTACAGTAGCGTGTTGTTCTTACGGGTATTTTAAATGGATCCAGTGCCATCTAAATTTAGATAAGCTGTGTTTATTCATGATGGCGTATAGTTGTTCTGTGAACCTGCTCCTTTTATTTTTATTTTATTTAAGCACACTGAGTTTTTGAGGCCTACAGCTCAAGTGGTATTGAATCCCTTCAGTCTTCAAAAATATATCAAGCTCCTTTAGATGCAGAAGCACCATAGTGACTCATCACAGTATTAACCCTCTAGGTACTGTGAAACCCTTTCGATACTCTGAAGGTTTTATTTGTGGTTATCAAGTTGGCCTTACTCTGTGAATGGGACTCCTACGTGATCAAAGAACGTAAATGCATAATAGTAACCAGAGCTGCTTGGCAAATGAATGTGTTTTGATGATGCTTTCAGAGTAGTAAAAAGTGGAAGTTCCTCTCCCCCCGAAACGAAAATGTTCTGGTCTTCCCAATAAACAAAGCAGCCAAAACAGTAAAGATTTATGTGTTTTGGATTTGATCCTGTGAAATTTACCCTTTGTTTTAGCCAGACTAAATTCTTCATGCCCAGAAAAGGAACTATTCTTCAAAAATTCCCTTTAGCTTAAATAAAATGTTGACTTGCTGCAGTCTTAAGGCGTTCAGGAACAACTGGTCCCTGAGAATTTGTGGGAGGACACCAAGGTAGAAATGCTTGGGAGACCCTTCCCCATCCAGTCTTGGCCCATACCCTGTTGTGACTTGCTGTGGGAGTACAGAGACAGATCCTGCAGAAGTCCATTAGAAACCAGGGATGGAGCAGGATAGGTATGAGGGGCAGGGAGGAATTTGTCCATGGGGTTTATGTAGTAGGGAACAGAAAGTCAGCTACTCAGTCATGTCTGTTTGGACTTAGCTTTTAGCTTTACAGACCTCATGAGCAACCTCCAAGCTGTGGTTGGAAAAATCTGGGCAGGAAGAGGTATGGAGAAGACTTACCAGATGTGTCTGGAACTAAGTCGTCTGCTGTCCTTGCTGAGAGTTCATCTGCAGCCCACAGGGTATCATCTGAATACCCGTGCCTGCGTGTTGTCCAGGGCTCAGGGCTCCATTTTATGGCAAGGCTGCTTGGTGCTATTCCTGATTACAGGAGAGAACAGTGAGCCATTTATAATTTGTGAGTTTTTAACCTTTTTCTTTGAGGAAAAGTGGGAAGAGAGGTGTTCCTGTGTTTATTGACTGTCTGCTGTGCTGTGTATGCTTATTATTGAAGGCAAGGTCAGAGAAGTTCATCTTGCCTCTCAGTATGACGCGAACGGCCTAGTTGGCACAACTTCTCATTTCATTGTACTTCATCTTTGCAGTGACGGCATCTAGGTTGACTGCTCAGGGTGTCTGAATCATTGTCAGCTGCTATAAATCTATAGGCTCTTTAAGGTCTCCAGAAAAGTCTTTATTCAGTAATACAGCTCTCCCCTTTAGTCTTCTCAGTTTCAGATGAGTCAGTAACCGATGTATGTGGTAGAAGTTTGTAGGACTGTGTGTGTCCCGATAACTGGTTTTAAATGTCATTGGTTTGCTGTGAAGTCCTTGTGGTATTTCCTCACCCCGTGATCCTCCGGTGAGGATAAAGGCCCCTTTGGGGACCTGAAGTCGGCTGGAGGGTCTGTGACAGCTGAAGATGATTCAGAGGCATACTGGAGATAGCCAAACCCAATTGTTGCCAAGAAGTACAGCTCACTGGCTGTATTAACTCTTTTTTTTTTTTTTTTTCCTCCTTTCACCCGTCTGTACTTCCCACAAGCTCTCTACCTGCTCCTCTCCTTTCAGCCCATCTTGCTAATAGTTTACATCATTGTTTTGCATTGATTTTCCTTGCACCACGTTTGATCCGAGGCACTGTCTGTTCTGCCTTTTGCATCATGAGCTTAACTAAAACTGCTTTTCCTAAAAGCTCTGGGGGCTATCCCCTCCTTAAATCGCAGAATAAGTTCTCTCCTCATTCCTTGCTCTCCCTAGCTCTGTTTCTTTTCTCTTATCAGACCTTCAGTGGGTTTCTCCTCTCTTGTTTGTCTCGCGTTCTCCTGAAGTTCCCTGCAAATGGGTAAAAGGCTCAGGGGCAACCTAATAGCAGCCTACTAGGACCTGCGAGGAGGTTATCAGCAGACAAGCCCACTCTTTGCAATGGTGAACGATAGGAGGACAAGAGACAATGGGGATAAGTTGAAACAAGAGAAATCAGACCTTCAGTGGGTTTCTCCTCTCTTGTTTGTCTCGCGTTCTCCTGAAGTTCCCTGCAAATGGGTAAAAGGCTCAGGGGCAACCTAATAGCAGCCTACTAGGACCTGCGAGGAGGTTATCAGCAGACAAGCCCACTCTTTGCAATGGTGAACGATAGGAGGACAAGAGACAATGGGGATAAGTTGAAACAAGAGAAGTTCTGAGTGGATAGGGGGGGGGGAGAATCACTTAAGAGATCAAGCATTGCGGGGAGAATCACTTAAGAGATCAGTCAAGCATTGGAAAAGATTGCTGAGAGAGACTGTGCACTTTTCATCCTTAGAGGTTTTCAAGACCCAGCTAGATAAAGCCTTGAGCAACCTGGTCTGGCCTTCTCACTGACCCTGCTTTGAGCAGAAGACTGGACCAGCGACCTCCTGAGGTCCCTTCCAGCCTGAATTATTCTGTCCTTCTAAGTTTATTCTTGGTTTCATTCTCATTTTCCTCTCCACCAATCTCATCCACAAGACCATCTTGGTGAATTTTCTCTCTGGTTCACTTTCAGTTCAACATCTCTCCCCAGGACCTGTATTTTTCTGCCTATTTAAAATCTCAGCCTTTCATACTGAAAGGTATCTTTCATCTGCCTGTTAATGTCTAGCTATCAAACTTAGCTTAGTTGAAACATAATTAATCTCATTCCCCTCTCCTCAAGCACATCCCCTTGATTTCTAAACCATCATGGATTTTGCTACTGTTCTGCCTATTCCAGATATTCTCTGCAATCCTGCAACTGGTTTTTCTGGTTGCAGAGAGGCTCTAAAAAAATCTCAGTCATCCAGACCGTTTTAGCTGTGTCTGCCTGAGTTTGTAGAGAGCTGAACGCAGTGAATTTCCTGCTGGTTTCAGAAGATACTGAAATCACACCGATTTCACTT